GAACAGCAGAAGTATTTCAATTCAAAGAAAACATTCTCCACAATGCTGGGCTGCCTCAGCAATTCTGAGAGTTGGTCCGCAAGTCATAAAAGGTTCATAGTTCCCCATCCCTAAACTAAAATATAAAATAAAAGTAAATACTACTCCCTTCTAGCATTGATGAAGTTAACAATGAAACATCTGCAAACAGCAACCAAGCTCAGCCAGAGTTGGACCACTGGACCATTGTTGACACATGGGCTTTCTCCATTTTATCCCTATAGCCGCTATTTTGAGCCAATGATTGATACTGAATTTTATGGATAAACAAGATTTGACTAATCTGATCCAATAATTATATTCTACATTGTATTATATCATATATTTTGTACGAACTACATGGTAGAGACATCAAAGCTTTGTTATTTTCAAAATGCAAGTGGATTTTTTTTTCTATTCAATTCTGTCTTCCATGTCCTAAAACCTAGAGTTGGTTCACAATGGTGCTAAGAAAAACGATTATTTCATACTTGCTTTGAAGACATTTGAGCAAAACCATACCTTGACATCGTCCTCTTTTTCTACGGAAGGCTGCACCTGACTGTAAGGCTTCTAGTAGGCTGTCCATAACTCCTGTTTCATCTCCTTCTGCAAGAACACAAAATAAGAAATTTCTTGTTATTTTCATTGGCTCCTCCATCTAGGGAGTAGCATTATAGACTCAAGCCTATGGGTGTTCTGGAATGTGTACTGTAGGAAAGAGAATAAAATTGTTATTAAAATATTTCTTGATAAAAACAAAAAAGAGCTGGTCATAAGTGAAAAATTATTATATAAAGACAACAATACACAAAAATGCTTCTCAAAATATTTCCCTTTGTCTTAAATTGGGAGAAACCTTTTATAAAAATGAGATTGCACAATGGAGGGTTTAAAGAGGATTTAAAAAAATCTTCCTGGAAGTTTCTGAGGCATTTTATCCTTGATCCAACGTATCTGTTTTATAAATACATAATTGTGAATTTGGATATAAAGCAGGGATAACAAAGAGAAATTCCTTATAACAGTTCACCTCTTCCTTTATATGTCATATTGCTTTAATAGTACAACCATGGTATTACTCTGATGCCTTGAAATCATTAGTATCCTGAGGGATTTAGAGCTATGCATTTTCCACTGATCTACTTTTCACTCTACACAACAGACAGAGTATTAAGAAGACCGGCTGAAACAGGCCAGTTAATGTTGTTTCCCTAGCAACAAGCATATTCCTTGTCTCAAAAACAGGAAAAGGAAGAGCATCTACATTGCTCCTGTGATGAAGACTATGTTTTGTCAATGCCTTCTTCTGCTACACAAGAAGCCGAGCCTCTTTGAAGACAACCGAAAAGTCCCTGAACACTACAATATTTTCTATTCCATTTGAATGTTTGCCTCCCCCAACTCTCATCAACCTGGCACTGAATGTGTTAACTGCAACTTCATGAGGAGCTTGCAAAATCTGGTTTCCATAGTAACAGCTCCTGACAAAACATAAACCTATAAAATCACTTTAGAACATCTGCTCCCGTTTTAGGTAGACTGAATCCATTGTTTGTACTGCCACCTGCTGGCCAACATAAATGGCTAGTGTTACCAATACAGTACATTCTGGAAGCCTTCATTGTCTTCAAGAACAGAAAACGAAAATGCAAAGAAATTGCCACACAAACCTCCATTTTTCCAATTCCATCAGAAAGAGTCTATGGCATGATTAGTAAAAAGGGACAGGCTCCAATTACAGATGGTTCCAACACTGATTATGAAGTAGTTTTACAGCACTGGAATTAAAAGGCATGCATATAGAATGCAGCTGCTCATTTCCCATTACTTAAGCAAAGGAAGTAGTGTATATAGGGTAGATATTTTGAAAACTATATTTAGACTTACATTTACTCACACTCAGTATTTTTGCTGATGCAACCTCATGTGGAACATCACACAAATGATGTAATTGTACAAGGAATAATAATAGATCAAGCTTCTGGTTTGTAATTTCAATTACAGTCTTTTTAATAAAAATGACAAGGTGACAAGTTGTCAGTGTATTTGTGAACATTTACATCCCACAATCTTGTCTCAAGTTGACACTGCTTTTAGAAATATGTTGTTCAGGAAATACAGAGGCATCTCCTGAAAAAATGGATACAAAGGAGTTTGGAACCATCTGGCAATCAAGAAGAGCCACATGATAGATGATAGAAAAAAACACAAGTGACAGGAGGCAGCTAAATAGGCATTACATCTGCTTGCTGACACATTTGAAGAAAAATCAGTTATCAAAGGCAAAATTTAAATACCTCTATATTTTTCACTTTTGCTCTTCCATCTTGATTACATAACCTGCATTATGTTTTGGGTTCCCCAAAAATTACAAAAAGAAAAAAAAAGAGTACCTGTAGTAGTGCTAAGAAATGTGCAGAATTTCAGACAGGAATGTTTTCTGATAAAAGAGACATTAAATAATGAATTTGGTCCTTATCGATCAGAGTAAAAAAACAAAATTATTATTACAATACAGGGCAAGGATTTTAAAGTTGTCCCTAAAGTTAAAAGAAGGGAGGAGCAGAAGCAGAGGAAGAGTCCCTCCCCAGATAAATAAAGACATGTCACTACAAGCAGTGAGAAATAATTGTGCTAGAATGGGAATTGTTCCATGAAACTTATGGGGTCTTTCCTTCACTTTGCCAAGTGCAGATACTTTGCAGAAATATTAAACATTGCAGTATTTCACAAGGTTGTGGGGGAAGAGGAAAAGAATGTGAAAAAAACCAAATGGCATGTCATTTAGCACAACTTCAACCAATTCAAAAGGAGAGAGAACTGGCAGGAAATTGTGGGAGTCAGGAAATAGAGAGGGATGGTAATTGAGTCCATATGTTCCAAGAAAGGGGTAGCCAGTTGTTTTTTTTTTGTTGCACTAAAAAAACCCAACCAAGTATCATATGGCATCTGAAACACTAATAAATGTATCATCACAAGCTTGTTGTGCTTCTAGGCCACTTCATGCACAGATGCATGAAGAAAGATCTTGAGAGAGGGATTGCTTACGTATGCAGAATTAATCATTAGGGGAGAGGAGGGGAAGAAGAGAAAAGGCAGGATTGTTTCAAAAGATGGGAGACAAGGAAAATGCAGCTTTACATGTTAATTAATGAGTAACAGTAAAAATAGAACAGACTTTTCTTTCCACCTGTCAGGTTTTTGCAGAAAAGTAGGTCCAAAGTCCATTAAATCTAAGTAAAGGAATGTATTCAGCAGCAAAAAGATTATCAATTTGTAAAAATAGCATAAAATGGAGTACAGGTAATCCTCAAGTTGCGAATGTAACGGAGCCTGCCTATTCTATTCATAACCTGAGGATTCATCTTGTACCTTGAACATGATAACTCCCTCCTTTCACCCATGCATTCGCTAATCAAATGCAAGGCTCATTAAGTGTACATAAGGTATCTCGGGGTAGGGAAGGCCATGAAGAGCTTAGTGATGGAACAGGCCACCTGGTTCAGACCACCCAAGGCCTCCCCCGACCTACTGAAATACCTCATGCTCCCCACAATTGCTTCTCGCCACCCAACCCTGCTGTGCTGGGTCACTTACATTGTGAAGATCTGTCTCCTCTCCAGCATCTGTTTCTTTGCCTGCTCCCGGTGAGGGCAGAGGGAGCAAAACGAGCACGCCCTACTCGGTTTCTCTAATCACCAAGCCTGCCTGCCATTTCTGGAGTGGCGGGCAACCTCAGTGAGTCTCTTCCAAAGGCTTTCAGGCTCCATGGGAAAAACTGTTTGCACAAAGTGAGGTTTTGGGGCAGCAAACTCATATTGCTTCAAGCCCCTCATTAGCATGCAACCACTTTTCCCGCGGAGATTGGAACTTTCTGGGTGCCATGATCCCGCAGAACCTCAGGCACCCATTCTCTGCAAAAGCGGATGGGTGCCAGAACTTGTGTGAGACCATGCACCCCAGAGGCTTCCAGTGTTCCTCTGGGCAAAAAGTGTTTGAGTGACCCCCTGGGGGGTGGGGGTGGAAACAGAGTGAAAAGCTCTGTTTTCAAGCAATTTGCTCAGTTTCCCTCTCCCCCCTCCCAGGGCTGCTCAAACACTTGTCACCCTGACAGAGACTGAAAAGTCATCTGCATGGAAATGGGGCACTTGAAAATGGAATGAAAAGCACCCCATTTCCATGCAGGCTATGCTTGCAGTCTCCATCAGGGAGACAAGTGTTTGAGCAGCCCTGGGATGGTTGGAAACGGGAGCAAAATCCCTAGGGTTGCTCAATCACTTGTTGTCCTGATGGTGACTGCAAGTGTAGTCTGCATGGAAATGGGGCATTTGAAGACGGAGCTTCTCTTCAGCAGACTCCTTGAGGAAAGTTTTTTCCTGGCAAAAAACAGAGCTCCAAAGCGATGTGCACTCCCTCCAAGGGCTCTGTTCTCAGCAGCAAAGGCTTTTTGCAAAGATGGCAAAAAGCTTTGCAAATGGAGGGAAAGTTTCAATGTTTTAGGCCTTCCTGCCATTGTAAAGTCTTTTGTAGCAGCTCTCATCCAGGCCTCCGTTTGCAGAGAACAGAGGCCTAAAGTACCATGAGATCATGTGAGAGCAATAGCATGATTTCTCGCACTACTGATCTAGAGTGATCTTGCAGTACTTTAGGCCTCCATTCTCTGCTTACACACTGAAGGCTAAGAAAGCGAAGGCTCTCTAGATCTTTGCAAGGTGAATATCCACAGGCCTAGTGCCTATGCAGACCCGGCGCAGGGAGAAGGGGGGAATAAGCAGGGCAAATGTTGCAGAGCTTCTGCAGTTGTTTGTAAGGGAGAACTGCCATGGTGCTGCAACATTTGTAGTTTCGGGACTGGTTCGTACATGCTAGGGGCGCTTATTGCATAATTTTGAACGTTCACGAAGGGAACGCTTGTAATCCAGAGATTACTTGTACTCTAGTCCAGAAGATTTGCCTTTTGAAAAGCAGAATCCCAAAAATCTGCACTAATATGTGAAGGTGCAGTCAATTATAGGGAGTCCTTGACTTATGATCATTTGTTCAGCGACTTCAAAATTAAGACAATACTGACCCAAAGGAATTACAACCACTGCCTGATGCCTATTGAAGCACCCAGTGGTCACATGATAAAATTTTGGACACTTGTGAGCATGCATACTCGGGGGGGGGGGGGGGACGTGCTGCAACTCCTCTAGCATGCCCACTTTCCCCCCATCTAGGCTGCTCTGCAGACCAGCGCTCAACCTCAGTATCAGGCCTAGGGCCCTCCAGCAGTTTCAGCCAACTCCCATTGCCACAATCCTCTGCTTCAGTCTTAGTGCTGACACTGCTATCCACAGATGCCACCTTGTGCAACTCATCAGAGGCAGCTCCTGCTCACACCAGTCTTTCTTTCCCAGAGACTGTTTGTGCAGAGCTTCTGAAGCCTTTAGAAATTCCACAGAGTTTGCATGTAGTCCCTGAAATCTTTGGAAACCCAGTGCAACTTCAACAGGCTTTGGAAGCCTCACATGATTTGGGAAGTTTTTGGTGATTGCATGCAAACTCTTGTGGAGCTTCTGAAGCCTTTCAAAGTCATTCCAGGGTTCCAGAGTCAAAATTCTGCCAGGGTTCCACTCAACTTCAGAAAGTTTTGGAATTTACACAGAGCTTCCGAAAGGCTTCCTGAATTGCACAAGTTGAAACCTTCTGAAGTCATGCTAGGCTTCCATAGCCTTAGGAAGCTTTCAGAGATTTTGGGTGAACTTTCATGGAGTCTCCAAAGCCTTCCAAAGTTGCAGTTTCTGGAATTTTCAGAAGCCCTGCACAACTTAGGAAGCTTCCATAAAAGAATTCCAAAGAATTTGTAATCTCCACACAAACAGGCTCTGGGAAACAAGGCCTGTGTGGAACCAGCAGCTGCCTCTTGTGGGTCGCTAGAACCCCTTGATAGCAGGAAAGAAATGCCTGAAGATAAGAAGTGTGCAACAGATCCTCAAGAGTGCTGGGTGAATGGTGTGACATTTGTGAATGGCAGCAGTGGCACTAGTACTGATGTGGCAACTGGTTGAGGTTGCTAATGGCCCTGAGCCTTTACTGCCCCACCCCAAGGCACCCGTACTCCACTTAATGACCTGCATGATCACAACCTAGGAGTGCCAGAATTGCAGTCATGTCAATGCAATATGAAAATAAGATCCTGAGTAATCTGATTCATCTGTTTTTATCAATTAAACAAACATTGTGCAACATGCTTGCATTTATACTACACAATGTACTCATACAATGTACTAAGAGTCATACTCTAAGAAATGAACAGGGGCAATTTCATAATAATTACATTAAATACAAGAATTAACTATATGTCATAGATAAAATTATTTTGCTACATACGAATATGGTAACTATGTACTAAAAAGCTGCATTCAAATAGCTTATTCCTATACTAATACTAATTTCTGCCTTAAATTTCTGTTATATAGCATGTATAGAATTATATAGAAATAGAAGAGTATAATATATAGCATGTATTAAGTATGCTTCAAGAGGAGGTTTTGTTATGCATTTTTCATCTTTCAAACTTGCATCTTTTTGGATTTTCAAACATGAATTAGTAGATGTCTGTATACTATAGTTTACCACAAAAATATTTTAATAAAAATATTTGTCCATCTGGAAGCATCTTTAAACATTACATACTGTTGAGAGATTATGGAATTTGAAAGTGAGATAAAAATATACAGATGTATGGCTGGCAGTCTGAGAGGTGAACATATGTATTCATATACACATACAGAATTACTCCACCTCTGAATACCAACTGCTAGGTGACAAAGAATATAGAGATTGCTATGGTCTCCATATACTTTTTGAGCGCTGAAACACTCTGGCTACAATTGTACAGGATTTATTTTGGGCTCTGAAGCCATATGCTTCACAATTTTGTCCACATTATATGACATATTCATGCAACCTTTTTCTCCAATTAATGTCTCCTGCCAAAAGCAGACTTTAAAAATACCAGTAGTCCTCGATTTATGATGAGCTGCTTGAAATTTGAAATTATCATTTGAAATTATGACACATTCAAAAAAAAGGACTTATAATCCAGATTCGATGTTCCAACATCCCTCCCTCCCCCAGGGTCATGTGACTATATTTTTGGTGCTCAGCAACTGCTCCTTATTTATGGCTGTTTGTAGCGTCCCAGTCATGTGACTGTGATTTAAGACATTTTTGGCAGAAACATTCTTTTATTTCCAGTTTCTGGCAAAAAAAGCCCAATGACAAGCATTCATTTAACAAATGCAGCATTTGCTTAACAACCATCACAAAACAGATAATAAAATTGGACATAGTCATGTGGTGACCTACTTTACAACCCTTATAATGTACAACCAAATTGCAGGGTCAGTTATGGTTATTAATCAAGGAGAACCTTTAATAATAATGTATTAAACTTGAATACTGCCTGATTCCCAGCAATTTGGAGCAGCTCACAAAAATCAAAGAAATTACATAAAATCAATAAAAGATGGTAAACGCTCAGACCAGATGGAAAAAAGCAAAGGTCTCATTCCCTCTCATCAAAGACATGGATGAAGACCCAGCTCTTCTTGGCTTTTCTGAACAACAGCAGAATCTAGATATGGGAGGAGGGAACCTCATTGCAGAGGGCAGGCATTAATACATAGAGAGCACACTTATTTAACTGAAGGAACCAAGAGTATCCCAACCTTGCAAGATCAAATTGGCCAGGCAAATACTATGGAGACAGATGATCCCTAAAGTAAATGTCCTCTAATGAGGCCAATGCAGTCTATTTTAAATCTATTAAGCACAGTCAGTAGTTCTCATGGTCAAGTACTGTAGCTGCTGAACAGAAATGATCCCTTTTCTGCTGGGAAGAATTTGGACAGGGAGTAAAAGGCAAGGGGATAAAGACTAGGAGACCTTAAAAAGAACTTGCAGACCAGATGGGAAATCCCTATAGATGTTATCTGGCTCATAGTGAAGACTGGATGGACCCTGAACCACAATCAAGTAATGATCTTATAATATTACCAAGTAAGAGAAGTCTCTTTTTCCTGTCTCAGTTTTCCACTAAGGAATTTATACAAGCCACAATATTCATGGTACAGTACCTGAATTCATATCAATCAGTTGTTCTCTCTTCTTTTGCTTTTCTTGACGTTCTTTCTCTGCTTTTTCTTTTGCTAGTTTAGCTCTGCGCATCTTCTCCTCCATCTCACGCTTTTTCTGATTCTCCTTCACAGCTTGCTAAAAATGAGACAAAGGTGATAAGATAGACAAATGGAGAATCATAACAATGAATTTGCTGTGTCGTTATGATACGCATATCATATTTTTCATTTAGTAGAATAAAAGACTGCAATGCTGGCTACCATGCAAGACAAAGTTCAGTAAACAGTGATGGGTTTATGAATGATAAAATTTATTTATTACTTTTATCCATAAAAATTAATGGAAACACAAAATATACAGGTAATATATCCCTGAGAACCAAATGCTGGAGGATAATATACCTTAACATATTTACCTAAATTTATTTTTATTTTACTCAAATAAAAATGGGAATATTAATTTCCCTACAAATATCACTGTTTAAATACAGCCCTACCCTAATAAGCTCTCATCTCTATACTATACTTCTCTATACTATACTTGTCCTCTGGTTTACATTATTTTGCAACACAGTTTTTAAAGAATTTTGAGCATTTGGACTTATAATGGATATTGACATAGGTTTATGGAACTTGAACACATTTAGCAATATTTGTTGTCTGCAGAAATACTGACCTATTTTTCAAAATTTTCAAAATTTTGTCTCTAGCAGTCCAGCAACCACACTGAACATCTATTCCTATCAATATCAACCAGCTTATGAATTATAGGTAATGTTGATATTTATAATCCTATGAATTCTTGGGAAATATGATGATATAAAAATTAAACAAGCAAGCAAGAAAACAAATAGATAATTCAAATGTAAAAGACTAAAAATCCAACAATATATAAATAGCAAAATATGCAGCATATGCAACAGAAGTAGCCACCTCCTTATGTCATACAATTTGAATTTGTTTCAAAGTATTGCTTTGTTTGATGTAAAAAGCAAAGCTCAAATAAATAGTGGCTATTTAAATTAAATTAAATATGTAATATAACATATTGTAATTAAAACATGGATGCTCACCACAAACATATTTTTGAAATTGCGCAGATTTGTGAAGAACTCCTCAACAGATATCTTATTGGTATCAAAGAGGAAGTATTGTCCTAATTCCCTATAAAGGTTTTCCATATTTGCATGCATCATTCGTAGCTTCTCATACTGTTCTTGGGCTTCCTTAACAAAGCTGTAAGACTAGAGTTAAAGACTTCTAACAATTGTAAACATACTTTCTGAGAATAAGTTGATTGCTTTGAAGTTTTATATTTTTAGTTTCAGATTCTATCGCATCCTTTTATGCAAAAAGCAGTTTGACAAAATAACACCATATAATTAATTAAGAGGAATTAACACAGTACTAATGTAACAACGCTCTTTTTTGCGAAATAAATTCTGATTAGGTCATTGTGATTCACCTCATTTTTATATTCCATTGACTTCTAGCTATTGGAAAGACCATTGCTGACTGCAAATAATTTACTTCCCTGTCTGCAGCTCTTCATAGGGTACAAAGGGAGGACTCAGCTACAGCTGCTTTACCTCGGAGATTGAAGCAATCATAGCTATTTTAAAATTTTAATTTATTGAAATGATTGTGTCAATAAAGTGTTAAGTTATTATTAAATCTATTTTAAATATACTGCAGGTTATTAATTCATAATTTATACATTTTAAACAGCAAAGTAAAATTATTCAATACATGAATAAGCAGTCTTTCATTGAACAAGATCATCTGGGTATGGAATATTTTGGAAGAATAGGTTACGCAGGTGCAACTCCAGATAGACTATGGCAGATAAGCTTTATTTATTCATACCTAATTCTACTGCCTGCAAATCACCCAAAGAGACACCAGGAAGAATTTACACTTTCAACTGTTTGAATGGGAGACTACTCAAAGCAAGACAGGATCAATAACTACTCGTGTTTTCCCGAAAACATGACTGTGTTTTATTTATTTTGGGGGGTGTCTTATTTTTTTTCCACATATGGGAGGGCAACTTTTGCTTGCTCGTTGTGGGGCAGGAGACCATACGGTGTGCCAGTGCCACTGTTACAAGGCAAGGGAGTGGAGCTACCTCACATGCCCCATACCAGCTTACCTCATGGCCCCTGCTGTCAGGCCACCTCGTGGCGGCGGTTCCAACAGCCCTATCCAGGACACCATGTAGCCACTAGCCCACTTCTTTTGCTTGCTTGTGGCTGCAATGGAGCAGGAAACCATGAGGTGCCACAGCCATGAGGCAAGACAGGGAATGGAGCTTCCTCCATGCACCCTGCACTGGCTCACTTCAGGGTCCCCACAGCCAGACCAACCACACCCTGAGAGCTGCCTCGTGACCACAGCATCAGCACACCACTCAGCCTCCTCTATGAGCAAGCAGAAGTGGGCAGGCAGGCACATGGGCTCCTGCTGCACATGGTTGCCGGTACTGTTACTGCGAGTCAGGCATTGGGGCATGGATAGCCTGGCTGCGAGGGCCCTGAGGTAAACCGGTGCAGGGCATGTGGGGCAGCTCCATCACCACCTTGGTGGCCACCACGAGAAATCTAATAGAATGGGCTGAGCAGGGTCTTAAGTAGGGCTTATTTTGGGGGTAAGGCACACACGTAAAACATGCTATATCTTATTTTTAGGATAGGTCTTATTTTGCTAAGGGTTCCCATTACTGTCATTACCTTGTGAAAAATGAAACAAGTCCTGTTTTGGTACAGTGTATCTTTCTAATACTATTAAAGCTTGTCAATAAACAGTGATATATTAATGCGACTTTAAGAACCTTAAAAGGTAATTTTTTTCTTTATAATGAAAACTAGAATTCTCAGAAAAAATAATACAATGAGAATTCTTATCCCTCAGTATCATAAATATGATTCTTTCTTTCATAGGTTATTTTTCAACATTTTTCAGTGAAGAGTTTTGAAGGATATGGTCATTTTCTCCACAAATTTGTCCTTCTCTTCTGTTCTACTGGGAAAATTGTTAACATCATGCTGTAGATCCGAAATCTGTTTGTTCATCTGGTCCAGATTTTTCCGCAAAATTTCAGCAGAAACTTGGGGAAGAAAAAGAGACAATATAGCAGAATTGCAGAAACAATTAACATCAACTAAAAGAATAGTTTTTATTTACTGTAGTCACATTCTCTACGAAACCATGTAAGTATGTTCTTTGGATTACCCGCTTCCCTTAAATGAGAAGGGTTAGTCTGATTAATATTACTTCATGGGACAGTTTCTACTTGTGTTCAAGTTGAACAGGAAAGAAAACTTAGGAAAGCTAAAAAAAAACTTACAGTAGTAAGAAAAAAGTAGGGTTATGCTCCAACTTGGGATAAAACTCAAATCTGATGTAAAATGGGGTAATAGAAAGTATGTAATTTTACATTGTCTTATTTCCAATTCAAAAATTATTTTAGAAGTCTGCCTATAATATATAGACTGCAACTCCAGCATACAATGGAATGGGCAGGATATTCTGCAGCAATCAAAATTTAAGATTTTAACCTACTCTATAGCAAACCATGCAAACTCCTTTGTGCAACCAAAGGGACAAATATGAATTCACAGAATTGAGATTTCAGAACCAGCATGCATCATCCACATTGATTAACTAGGATATATGAAGAGCTGCATATTCAAAAGTACTGTCCCATTAATATACATGCTCAGGAATGCCAAAATTAGGCTTTATAAGACTCTTTGGCTTAAGAGCAGTGTTTGTAGGTGACAATGTACAATAAAGTGATATCAGCAAAGGAAAAGGCCTGAAATTAAAGGCAACAGCATATATGATAGGAAGTTATATAATTCTACAAAGATGGCATTTTTGCAATAATTAGCACCAATCATTCAAAAGCTAAAATAATATTATTAAACATTTGAATGTTTTCAGAGCATTCAAGAAACTAAAAAAACATACAGCCTGTATATATTGTAAACAGAAAAAAAATGAGAAAGTGAGATAAAAACTGACTTTGGTTAAGAATATTTAAGTTGGTGAGAAGTAAGACAAGCATTGTCTTATTACAGACAATTACAGCTTGATGACATATACTGCTCTCAGTATAATACAACATGACTGAGATGAAGGAATACACTTATTTCATTGAGCTGGTCACTAGGTGGTCAGACAACATCTGGACCAGGTGGGATACTTGCAGGAAAAATACATGATTATAAGTAAATAGACCAAACATAAATTTTCTTCATCATAGTGCAATTATAAATAACTGACCCTAACAAACATCTGCAGCCATCATTTTTATATTTTCCTCTCCACACTTCCTGCTATGACAAACACTATCCAAACATAGATCTAACATTTCTTTCAGGAAAGACAAAAATATGGAAACAGGAAGGATAACAAAATAGAATAATGCAATATCCTGCACACCCGCAAAGAAGATTTTACTCCTGCTCATTCTATATTAGCATATGAAGAAAGCAGAAGCTGAGATTTTGTTTTCATTGATAACAAAGTACTGTATATTATTCTGACCTGTTGACACTACAAATATCATCTAAAAATAATGCATACCTGTACACCCCAAATCTATTTAATGAATATTATATGCTTTCCCCACACCTCAAAAAGGAAAGAGACTGAAACTGATCTTGGTTGTACTTGCCCAGTTGAAGAAGTGAAGGAGTTGTGACTAAGGGTCTTCATACTATTATTGCACACATTTTTTCTTTGCTTTTAAGAGTTTATTGTATTTTTTGACTGGTACGGCTGCAATTATTTGAACATATTACATTTGTGTCAAGAATACCTACCAAGGCACTTCCAGATTAAAAGGATTAGTCAGTGACATTACCATTGCCCAAGGGATGCCTGAAAGGGTTCCTTTATGTTCCTATTATTTTCCCACTGAAGTGGTATCTACTTATCTATTTGAATTTGCATGCCTTCAAACCATTAGGAGAGCAGGCAAATTGATGGGAGCCCATTCTGTCATGTGGCTCACACTCTTGGATTTAGATCTGGGAGGATCCGCTGCAGACAGGCATTGGTGATGAGAGGCAGCAGATTCCCCCTGATGAGGAACAGCTATCTCCCCCACTTGATCTGAGGGCATGGAGTGGGAAGGAGGGAAGCTCAAAGAAGATCTGCAAGGCTGCTGGCGAAGAGGCCATCCCACCCCAACTCGCAAGAATTGAGATGATTTAACACCTGAATTGAGATGATTTAATTAGAGGCCAGGGGAGGGTTTATTCGTTGGGAACAATAGTTTCGCTTTGGCACACACTTCCCCACCTTTGTAAACTCTGCTTTGGATCATGTTTCTGCCCTATGGACTCTGACCTTGCTTATGGACTCTGGGTCTTGCCTTTTGGACCTTGAACCTTGTTTATAACTTATGGACCTTGCCTTTTGGACTTTGCACTTTGGTTTTGGACTACAGACTTCCTCCTTGCCTTGTGAATCAGCTCTGGTGACTTTTGGCTTTAGTTTGTGGGACTGTGTTGCATTGACTGGGTGGTTGTCTTCTGGAAAGTTTGGCGTAGAGCTTTACTGGCTGTTGTAGGGTCATTTTGTATGGGATAGCAAAGCAATAAAAGACTTTATTGAAGCCTGCGTCTGCCTAAATGACCTGAGTCATAGCAGACTGAGACAATCAGCAATATTATTTTAAGAGATAGAAAATAGAACAGAACAGAATTCTTTACTGGCCAAGTGTGATTAGACACACAAGGAATTTGTCTCTGTTGCATAAACTCATAGTGTACATATAAACAAGTAGTATGTCATAATAAATAATAAATCATATCGTAGTTATAATTCTTATAATAATAAATCATATCGTAGTTACAATTCTACAAGGGATCTTGGAGGACTTCTAGTTCAACTACCCGCCCCAAGGCAGGAGACCTTATATCATCCCAAATGGTTGTCCAACTTATTCTTGAAAACCACCAGAGATGGAGCATCATCAACACCAGGAGACATTGATTAATTGTTTTCACTGTCAGGAAATTTCTCCTTAGTCCCAGGTTGGATCTCTCTTTAATGAGCTTCAACCCATTACTTCTTGTCCTGACGTGCGGTGCTTTGGAGAATAAGTCAACTCCTTCTTCTCTGTGACAGCCCCTCAAGTACTGGAAGACAACTATGTCACCCATAATCTTTCTCTTCATAAGGCTAGACATATTTAGTTCTCTTAATTGTTCATCGTATGATTTAGCCTCCAAGCCTTTATCATTTGTTGCTCTTTTTTGAACTCTTTCTAGGGTTTCAGCATCTTTTTTGTATTGTGCCGACTAGACTTGGATGCATTATTCCAAGCGTGGCCTCACTAATACAGTATAAAGCAATACTATCAATTGTGATCTTGATGCTATCTCTCTGTTGATATAGCCTAGGACTGCTTTGGCAGCTGAAGCACCATGCTAACTGGTTCACTAGATCTACTAGGATAGCTAGATCCCTCTCACAATTGCTATGAGCCAAGTACAATCTATACCATTTGATTCTATACCATATTCCATACCATATTCTATACCATTTGATTTTTCCTGCCTAAGTGCAGGTACTTAATTTTCTCACCAATGGATTACATCTTGTTGGATAGGGCCTAATGCCTGTCAAGAACCTTCTGAAGAGTCTATCTTCCAAAATATTAGTAAAGTCTATCAATGTATCAGTCTCAGAAATCTTGGATTCTTAGATACTAGATACTTGTTTATTGATCTAACAGGGGAGCCATTGTATTATACATTGACATACTAACTTCATTATTCACACAACTTTCAAAGATTTCAAAATTTGGGGACATGTGACCATGTCAGATTAGAATTCAATATAATGCAGACACAAGCAATAGAACAAAATAAAACTATTGTCTTAGACCTTAAAATAACTGATTTCGACAAACTTAGAAATCTGATTTTAGATAACTGATTTCAACAAACTTGGGAAAGATTCCTTAAAGAGGAAAACAAATCAAGAAGCTTGGGAAATTCTTAAAAATGTGATTATAAATTCTAGTGCAGAACAATATCACTGAAAAGAAAAATAATGAGATCCAAGAAGAAACCAGAATGCATAAAGAATTCTCTGATAAACGTTAAATCTGATAAACTGGATAAAAAGATAAAAAGGATAAGTATAAAAAATGGCAAAAAACTAAGGCAGAGTACCAACAAGTAGCCTGAACTTGCAACTATGAAATCAGGAAAGTTAAGTGTTCGAATGAACTAAGACTTGTAATAATTGTCAAAAATAACAATAAAAGTTTCTTGCAATATGTTAAAAAAAAGTCAAGGAAACAAATCACTCCACTAATGGGAGAAGATGGCAAGGAAGTGATGGACAGCAGGGAGAAAACGGAGCTGCTTAATTCATTCATCTTCACATGAAAGGAAAAACCTAACAAAAGTAGAATCATAAAAGACAGATTAGGAATATAAATTAAAATAGACAAAAAAATAGAACACTTGGCCCAAATGGGCTACCGGCAGAAACATATAAAGAGCTACAAAATATTTTGGACCAATCATTACTAGAGGTATACAATGCAGTTTTAGCTGAAGCGAAGATACCACCATCATGGGTAGAAGCTAACATCACTTTGATACCAAAAGAGGATTCAGATTTAACGCAAATAAAGAACTACAGACCCATATCCCTACTGAATGCCGACTATAAAATATTCACCTCAACAGTAGCAGAAAGAATGAAGAGATTTTTGAAGGAGTTTATATACCCTGACCAAAATGGCTTTCTACCCAAAAAGCAGATAAGAAATAATACGAGAGTAATATTAGATCCATTGGAATACTATGAAACACATAATGAAAAGCAATTGGCTTCCGTGGCGGCGTGTGGTTGAGCGGCACGAAGGAACAGCGCTCTGTTCTTTGTTGCTGATCTTCAGTGTTCTGGGAGCCAACAGAGGCAAAATCGTTCCTGGGGGGATCGGTGACGGAGAGAGGAACCTTCGGAGCTGAAGAGGGAAGGTGCAATCCCCAGCAGTGCGATTGGAGGAGCCCTTGAAACCGGCGTTGAAGAGTTGGACTTTGGTGGCTGACCAGAGACCAGACGACACATGAG